TCTTCCTCTTGCGTAGTTTCCCTTCTTCCAGACAAAAGTCTGCATTGTGAGGGACTTCAATGACAACCTGCTCCTGGGATTCTGAAAAGCCTGCAACAGAGGTAGGTGAATTGGATCACAGTAGATGCCAGAAATTCCATCTAATGTCAAGGACACTTCACTTAAGAGTGGTGGGGGAAGGGGGAGCAAGAATGAATGTTTGTTTAAGAGCTCCCACTGGAACAGATTGTAGCTGGATGCTTGGTGCAAGAATTCATTAAAAAACTATCCTCTATTTTGTGTCCTGACGTGCATAATTGTAGTTTTTTAATGTTTTATAAAGCACACTTTATGGACCTAGGTTTTTTCCAGCAATTAGCAGAGGATTATTGCCTGATAAATCTGCGGCAATTATAAATGTTAATCCTCTATGTGAACGCTCTCACAGTTGCTATGGGTGTAGAATTCTGGGTGTAGAAACCAGAAATGCAACTGAAGCGATATGTTACCCAAACAAGATACCAAAGGCTAATTTAATTGCAGCATTCACTGCAATGATAAACTTCTTAGGGTTTCTCTTTGCTTATGCCAGCATTTGATTCTTCTCTCCCTCCCTCCCCCTCCAATTAGCTTACTCCCCTTTAATCACTTCCATTATTCTCCGCATCACACTACCCAGTTTAAATTGGTTTATTTTAACATACTGAATCTGCCAACAAATCAGCTGTACTGTGTGGAAGCCAACATGCTGCTGCTTTCAGTTATGTTACTTTTTTTTCTTGCCATAGAAACCAAATAAAATTTGGCTCAACTCCCTTAACAGGCCTCAAAGTCAGGACACTCCAGTTCCATTGGCCCAGGTTTGATGTTACAGTATTTCTGAAATTAGCAAGACTTCGTCTGTACAAAGCACTGGACTCCTTTTCAATACACTTTTGTTTTGTTTTGTCCAGCCACCTACTCCTCTCCCGGAGTTTGCTGTGGAATGGATCCAAAGGCACCGGAGTATAACTTGTGCAAGTGGCTTTTCCTCATTAGTGATGTGAAAGAGGGATGTTCCTCACCAGATGTCTGATGAGTACACTTCCCAGATTATATGCAGAATTACAGCACAGAAACTTGGCTAACTCGTCCATGTAGGTGTTTTTAGTCAACAAGAGTCTCCGCCCCTCCTAACGTCCTCTCCCACACCCCTCTTTTCCCTCTCCGCAGAAGAAAAGGTGTCTCCCTTTGCTACAATTTATATTTATTCAGAGGATGTCTCAAAGTGCTTCACAGCTGACTGCAAAACCGATTGGGGGCAGAGAAAGGTTGGATAGGTCTTAAGATGGTCTTTGAAGATGGGGAGGAAGGGGGCGAAGAAGAGATCTGGGATGGCGTTCCAGAGAGTGGGAGCAAGATAGCTAGAAGTCTGCCCACTGATGGTGGGACCGATCGGGCAGGTATATGAGAAACAGAATGAGCAAATCACAATTTCACTTTGTGATTGAAAAGAAAACAGTGGGCAGGAGTTGTCTCAGGAGATCATAGATGTAAGGTGGGTGACACTGTGGTCTCCAGTGGAGCAGTGGGCACCCTACTAGCTTCAGTGACTGAAAAACTGCTTCAAAATTACAAATCACAACTTTACTTTTGTATTTGATATACCGTTTTATTATGTTGTTAAATTGTCTCAAAGCGCTTCACAGAATATACTGTAAAGTGGATTGACTGTATATTTTGTGGGCAAACCACGGTAGCCAATTGTGCACAGCAATGTCCCACAAACAATTATGGATTGATGACCAGATTTTTTTTGGGGGGGAGGGATTATTACCCCTGCCAATCAACTAACAACCAGCTTCCTACTTACTGTGAGATAAACAGAGGGGTGTAGAGTATGGAAACTTGCCTAAGGTTTTGTCCCTCCTGGGAATCAAACCCCGGTCTTCTCGCTTGCGAGCTGACTAACCACTATTCCATGGGACTTTTCGATTAAAAAGAAAAACCATTCCATAGCTTGAAGGATACAAGTGCAAACAACTGTATTTTGAAGGGGAAATTAAAACAATGCACAATTTTACTATAAATAACAAAAAGGCAATTGCCCCCCTCCACCCCCACCCAGAGTTTATGGATTAGTTTCCTCCAATCCAGCTTCACATTATTCATGTCTAATACAAAACACAGCAGTGAGAATTCTGGGAGTAGTGGTTGCATTTTATGAGCAATGCTACATTTTCACATGGTTTCCATTTCATTAATGGCACACGTTTTAACATCCAAGCACAAGAATAAAAATGTTAAGGTTGCATGAAAAAAGGCATAGTTTTTGTACTGTAAACTCGTTTATTCACAACTACCAAAATCATTAAACTATGAAACACTGTGCTTAGTTGAGCGTTGGGAGGGCATTGGTTGCTCTTAAGAGGAATTTAAAACTGTGTTTTGCTTGAATATTGACAATCACCAGGATTAATTTTACCCAGGGTTTTAAGAGCATAACACAAAATGCTGAAATAAAAAGAATTAAAACCATAGAAAAGAGAACCAACATGTAAATTTTGGCCATGTCATAACTAAAAGTTATTACAAAGGCAAGTCCTGCATCGGTCAATCAGGTCTAACCCACTGTTACTGAAACCAGAACAATGGGAGCTTCTGTGAGCCTCTCTAAATCTCTAAAATCTGTAATCTTGCATTTGAGTGAGCCTAGTATTATCGAGCCAGTAATCAGTTCACAGAACCAGTAGTTTTGCACAGTTTGCAGTTTGTAACTAACCATACTGTTGTCACAAATGGATCCCGATATTATAAAGCTGATCTGCACAAAATAAGTCTCTGAAAAGGTAACCCAATATGTTCCTGACTACCTGATGGAAAAACATTAGAAAATAGAAGAGGCACAAAAGCTTTCAATTCACATCAACTGACAACCTGCAATTCTTCAAAAGCAATCGATTCACTTCCATTTTACTGGCTTACTCCATGAAACCGAAGCTCTTCCTAAAGCAAACTGACTTCTCAAAACGATCTACGAGGCTCCACAACACAAGCAGACTTAAGAGGTAAAGCCCTGGGCATGGTAGAGTTTTTCCAATTCTCAGTTTTGCTGTGTCATAAGGGATCAGGGACAGACAACTCCCGACGTGAAAGGCGCTATACAAATGTAATCTTCTTGTTGTTTGAAGCCCTTGTACTGCAAAATGACAAGCTTTTCGTATATGTGGAGTTCTCAATAATTAAGTACATTAAGGAAGCAATTAAAAATATCTGTGTTCTCCCCAAACCCTGGCTGATAGCTCAGATGCATACTGTTCCAACCTGAGCTACAAACATCTCCTATTTGGAACTGCTGGGGATGAATGGTCAGGTTGCCGACTTCTATAATAATCCTTGCATTTGATATAGCCCTTCCTCACGCTGTTGAGACGTCTCAAAGCGCTTCACAGAATATATTGTAAAGTGAATTGACTGTGTATTTTGTAGGCAAAACCCGGCAGCCAATTGCGCACAGTAGTGTCCCACAACCAACCATGGATTGATTGACCAAATTATTATTTTAAAGCAATTGTTACTCCAAGAAACCAATTGTTACCCCCAAAAAGCAATTGTTACCCCCAGAAAGCGACTCGCCAATTGACTAACGACCAGGTTCCTACTTACTTCCGTGTGGAGAAACTTGTCTAATATTTCGCCCTGCCCGGGAATCAAACCTGGATCCTCTTGCTTGTGAAGCGAGTGTTCTAACCAATATGTTACAGGACTCTATTAAAGGTCAAGGCTGAAGTTTTTACTGGTTTCTCATGATCCAAGGTTTGGCTTCAGATCATCTGAATTATATTGAAATTACTAGAATCCCCCAAACTAAAACCGAACTTTGAACACTAATCCCTGAAACCGCATTCCCACAGGACTGTTTAAATCAACAATGAGTCGTTTCCATCGAATTTAAACAGCAGAGAACCCTCACTTTTCTCACGAGAAATAGGTTTTCCCAGGACCGAGCTATGGGAAGCAATGTGCGCCTTGCTCTCATTCTGCCAGCTTTTACGTAAGCGATCATTTAGTAGCTTTTATAATGCAACAACAGCTAAGCACTGGATAGATTTAATCTTCCAGTAAATTACAATAAATGGCTTTATATTATACGAATAGGGGATAGAACAAGATCCAGGAATCATTTGGCATTATATTAGCAAGCGAAAACAGTTTCAAAATCAAAACTACCTTCAACTTTCGAAACTAGGTAAAGTGATGAACAAGTCGTCAATGTGATTAGCCTTTGAGACATCTAACAAACTCAGGATTATCCCTGGGATTAAATATGGATTATCAACCACAGCAATTTAAGAATAAGACACTTTGATAGTCCTCAGGGGACAAACCAGCGAAACAAATCCCACACGGGGGTCAAGGCTGTTTCCCCCATTTTGGAGGATACAAATTGGTGCAAACCCATCAAAATAGTGAGGACAACAACAACTTGCGCTTATATAGCGCCCTCCATGCAGGGTAGTGTCTCAGAGCACTTAACAGTGGCGGAGCCTGACTCTGAACTGGGGGGAGGTAACCATAAGTACCTTACTTCTGAGTACAACCAAAAGTCTAGATTCTAAATTTCATTCAGTTTTCTAAAGGGAACCATGCAATACTTAAGACTTGATTGCACCCTTAAATTGATGTAAATTTGCGCATTTCTCAAGTCACTGAGGCAAAATCGTGAGGCAAAGGAAGAAATTTAAAAGGTTGCCAAACTGTCCACAGTTAAAACAATAAAATGCAAGACTCCAGTTTTGGGCCATTAGGGAATAACATAATTCGCCCTGCTCGTGAGTACAAATGGAATCTTTGAATGTAAAGACTTCATGCAAAATGTATCATTTAACCTTTTCTGCACTCAACTGAACTGAATTACTGATGGACGTGGTCTGAGAAACTAGTGTTATGCACAATTTAAATGAAGGTTGCTTTAAAGATGACAGTAGGTGCGTGGAATAGGACTCGTTCGAATTTACAGGAATCTCTGAATGACTGAACAATTTATTTTTAATGGATTTATTTGGCTGCAATAAGAAAAAAAAGCTACGATCGTTCCTTAAAAGATTAAACAGTGCAATAAAACAATGCTCATTAGGAAGGAATTATCTTTTGTGTAAAATTGTTCAATTTTAAAAAAGAACATGAAAAAAAAGCTCAGATTCCATCCCTTCAGTTTATACATTTATGAAGAAACAATATGTCCAGTTATAACCATTTTGTCCTCATTTACAGGTTCTTGCCTCTGAAACAAAGTTTGAAACATTGCCCAAGGCACCGCACGCAGTCTCTGCTCAGATTGTATTTCCAAAAGTCCCACGCTTAATTCTGTGCATAATTCAGATAAACTGATTACAATTTCTTCCAATACTTTTCAGTCTTATCTGCTGTCATGCCTTCCATTTAATATGATCATGCAGTAGTGCTACTGTGAACAGCAGTCAGCTCTCCATGCAATTGTTCCAGATAAGCCTTGTTCTTCTATAACATGGCTCATTGCTTTTTGATTCACAAGCTGCTTGTGACTTGCCGAAACACTGATGAAGGTAGGAAGGAGCTGCTGCTTATGCTGGTGCTACCTGGGCGCTTGACGTATTTCCTGTAACAGAAGCAAAATGAATACACTATAATTACACTTGTACAGCCCCTTTCACATCGGGAAGACGCCCCAAGGTGTTGGACAGTCAAGGTATCAGGAGAGCAGGGAGAGTAGGGGTAGGAGAGTGACCAAAGGCGCAGTCGTAGAGGAGTGTCTTGAGACAGGTCTTGCAGTAGTCAAGTTCCTATTCTGCATTCCCCAAAAATACAAAATAAAATATATACTCTTAACAGTATAATAATTTATATAGGAATTGGAAGGGAAGATTTCTGGTAATGTTATAAAAATGAGCTGATGGGACCAAACTGTGAGGTTAAATGACAAATAAGGGACCAGCACAGTATTTAACACCAATTGGATGAATTAAGCAGATGGACTAAGGAGTAACAGGTGGATTTAATGTAAATAACTACTATTTCGGGTGACTGACTGGTTGAGTCTATCTAAGAGTGGACTTCCTTGAAGGAGAGGGGATCACACCAACTGAAGTCACAGGTGTTCTACCCTGAGAAATAACCCCACTCCTCATCTCCCATCCACACCCCAAAATTATAGTTGTGGTTGTGGAGTTCAAGGTTGCTACTTGTAAAAAATTCATACTGTTCAATAATCTAACATTGTGGTCCAACAGGCGGCCCATGGGCGGCATCCGGCCCGGTAGGTAATTGTATCTGGCCCAAGATCAATTCCAACTTCCGCTCCTTCCCTCCCTGGTGAACATCTTCCCAGGGCAGCGGCAGGAGCCAGTGGTTGGGAGGATGCAGTGCGGAGAATGGAAATAATACCGGCTGATTACTGCAGTCTGTCAGGAAGGCAAGTGCGTCTCTTACCAACTGCAACCTTACCGCCAACTTCTGCCGATGCAGATAATGACCCACGCGGCTGACTGGGCGAGAGGGATTGAGAGGGGGAAAGAGAGGGGATGGAGAGAGGGGAGGAGAGAGAGGGGAGAGGGGAGGAGAGAGAGGGGAGAGGGGAAGGGGAGAAGCAAGAGGGGGAGAGCAGGGGAGAGTGGGGGGGAGAGAGAGGAGGGGGAGAAAGAGGGGGGAGAGAGGGGGGGGTAGAGAGTGGGGGGGGTAGAGAGGGGGAAGAGAGAGAGGGTGGAGAGAGAGGAGGGAGAGGAAGGAAGAGAGAGAGATGAACGGGAGAGAGGAGGGAAGAGAGAGTAGAGAGTACGCTTGTGACAGAAAGGTAAGAGAGGGGGAGTGAGAGAGAAACTGCGTGAGAGAGTGTTTGAGTGAGTGTGCAAGAAAGCGTGACGGGGAAAGGAGTGAATGTGAGGGAAAGGGGAAGAGAAAGAAACAGAGAGAGATTGAGAGAGCATGATTGAGAGAGAGTTTGAGAGGGGATAGAAAGAGTGTGTGTGGGAGAGAAGGGGAGGTGGAGTGTGAGAGGGAAGAGTGTGAGAGGGTGTGAGAAGTGGAGTCAGACATTAATTGAGTGTGTGAGAGAAGCAGTGCGCCCCTCCCCGTGTCCCCCCCCACCCCTCTCTCTCCTTCAATTCCTGTCTGAAGACCTTCCTCTTTGATCATGCTTTTGACCACCCTCCCATCCCCACTCCCACTACTCTCCTCTTCTGACCCCAACTCCCAGCTCGGGTCCAAAACCAGTGACTTTCCGACGTGGAGGACGTTATACAAGTGTAGTTAGTTGTTGTGTCTGTGAGTGTTTGTGTGTCTCTCTGGGTCTCTTAAGTGTGTGTGTCTGTCTCCCTCTGGGTCCCTATGTCGGTGTGCGGAGCCAGCCCTGAGAGGCAGGAGGTAGTGAGCACTTGTAGCCTTGCTGGTGCCCCCAACCCCCCCAAAAAAATGGCCATCCAGTTTTTGATAAAAGAAGCAATTAATATTTTTTTTGCAACAATCTAATATGTGTTATTTCCTTATGTTTAGTTTTTTATCAAAAGTAAAAAAATGTGGCAGTAAAACGTATCTCAATAGCACCAACCAACTACCCACAAAATATAAGAAAGACCTCCGCAATTTCCTGCATGGGCCGCAAAGCGCTCGCAATTTTTTGCAAAAATGTCCGCACTTTTCTATTGGCCCAGGTTATAACCTTTTTGCTTCCTGGCATGAAAACCACCTTTATCATTTTTACAACAATGCGTTTCCCGACACATAGATATTAAACAATTGATGCAATAAAATAAAACATGCAAAGCTTGCGTGGCTGAAGGTTAGAATTTAATCCCGGGGTGCCTTTGTTGCAATATGCTGACTAGAACCACTTTCAATTAGCGTACTAACCAATTGCATAATACAGTGGCCAGGGATCCTTGAGCTCCCTCTATAGCATGTAAAGTGACAGGATAAGCAGGAAGGGAAAAGATAACTCTACTGCTCATAATTGAACAAAGGTGTGAAATTTGCAATATTTAATATGTATTTGATGTGATAAATACATCGAATCTCTGTTATGAATAATAATAATAATCCTTGAATTTGATATAATATATATTCGATATAACATTTCAGAGACGTGTTAAAAGTGCTTCACAGAATGTATTGTAAAGTGAATTGACTGTATATTTTATGGAAATGTTGCAAGTTTACCCCATAATCTTTAGATCCACCCATCGTGGACTGAATGGCTATAATAATAATAATCCTTGCATTTGATATAGCGCTTTTTACGGCTTCTAGACGTCCCAAAGCGCTTCACAGAATATACTGTAAAGTGAATTGACAGTATATTTGTGGGCGAACGCGCAGCCAATTGCGCATGTCTGTGCTGTAAAATTCTAAGAAAGTCAAATATTATCTTGTGTGAAAGGGAAAGTGTTCCTTATTTACCAAAACAAAACAAGACCGATGAGTAGAAAAATAAAAATATGATACAAGACCTCATGGAGTACCTGAAGCTGGAACAGACGGCTCCGCCTTCTCAGGTTCTGGGAGTGGATTTGACACAGTTTCCTCCTTCATTTCCGAGGCCACAAATTCATGAACTGCTTTCTCGATCTGCGGTTTGAATATGTGATGTAGTTTCGGATCCACGACCTGAGAGATTATTCTGTCTACACCCGATTCCAGCATGCCGGATCTAGAAACACACCAGTTATTTAGCTTGCCACTGAAACATTGTGATCTGCTTCCTAGGTAATTACTGTCAAGAAGGCTGACTGTCGGCAAATGAGCAGCAATTTGCATCTGCAAGGTCCCACAAAGAAGCACATATGGTGAATGACTCATTAACCCTGAGGGTTGTTGGCCAGCAGTTTCACAGGATTTTTACCAGGCACCTGAAGAGCCAGATGGGATCTTGGTTTATGCTTCATGTGGAATATAAACACCGTCACGGATTGGTTGGGCTGAATAGCCCGTTTCTGTGCTGCACAGTAAATGTAGAAATCTTTATCTATGTTATGCTCAACATATGTACAAGTAAGTCTATGTTTTGCCCACAAAATATGCAGTCAATTCACTTTACAGTATACTCTGTGAAGCACTTTCGGATATCTTGATGACGTGATAAGGTGCTATATCAAAGCCAAGGATTATTATCATTATAAATCTATAAATCATCTGAAGGATCATACCTCTGACATACCCCTAGGACTGCACTAGAACTTCAGCCTATAACACAAACTCATATTCACAGTCGAGTCTGATTTTGTTTTCAGCCACTGTCCGCACACAAGTACATTCTGCAACAAAGACCACGTCATGGTGATCATGAGTAGGAGCTATGTTCGACCTGAACCCAACACTCAAAAATTAGCTTAAATCAGCAGAGAAACAGAAGGAAGGCAAGTTCTTCCTGGTTGGAATAGTTGATACCTCACCAGGCAACGCACTGAACCATCAAAGGAGCTCCCATTAGTGTGTTTAAAATAGGAACTCAAGTCAATGACTCAATTCATTCAGGTACATTAAAAGTTGTATTCCTAGAGTCTGCATTTTATATAATTTCTGGACACAGTTTGCTTGTCAAGCTCTGTAGTTAAAATTATATTATTATTATGGCAAAATCGCTACATGGGATATTTATTTACTTCTTTCTACTCAGTCACACAATTTCCAAAATATTTGCTCAGTGGGTTTAAAGAAAAGTGGAGAATTCCTTTTCTTCAGGTCAGGCTCCAAGCTGAAATAGTGGCTTCCAATCTTATGAATGCTCCCAGTCTCAATGATAAATATACACAAATATATCCACAGAAATATAACCTTAGATGTTATAATCTTGGACTGTAAGTATACATGTATATACATAATATTCTTATAATTTAAAACCCATCCATTTATAGCTTTAAAATTAGAGTTCTATTTTGATTTTCTATGCAAAAATAAGCATTTAAGCTTCAACCCTTTAATTACCAAAAACGTACAACATTGCAGGGTGCTACCTTATCTGCCTCAGATCAGCATCCAGGCTGCTGACTTCTTAGTTTAAGCAAGTGGACATGTCTGTATGACATATGAATTGGTTTAAAATTGAGCAATCTTTCTCAAGGCTTTCAGAATTCTAAACATGAACCTTTCCAATATCTTTCTCAATGCTTTGAGAAAGATATTGGAAAGGTTCATGTTTAGAATTCTGCGTATTGTGTTTTTTTTTGGAAGGATTACTGCTTTAAAGGTCAAAAGGTGGTACACTAAAACATGCTGTGGCTTAGTTCTAAACTATCTGAAGCGGTTTCAACAGTTAAATCTAGTGCGGGGTCTTCTTAACAACAACAACAAGATTGCATTTATAGAGTGCCTTTCACGTCGGGAAAACGTTCCAAGGCGCTGGACAGTTGGGTCGGGACCCGAACAGGGGGGAAATGGTCAGGGTGAGGGGAGGGAAGGGAGGGAGCGAGTAGGGGGTAGAGAGTCGAGAGGGGAGCTGAAGGCACAGTTGAAGAGAAGGTTGGAAACTATTTAATATGTAGCAATTCCCTAATAAGGAAACTGGATTTACATCATATGGATGTGCAGAAAATCTACTCGTGATTGCCTTTCAGAAGTGCACTGTGTGACTGACATACTTCTGGTTGCCTGAAGGAGTCTCTACTTTACCTCATTAAGGTATCGCCACATATTAGATAGACCTCAATGTGCCCAGTGATTTAGGAACCGGGTTCCTACTTACTGCTACGTAAACAGAGATGTGTGGAGTATGGAAACTTGCCTACAGTGTCGCCCTGCCTGGGAATCAAACTCAGGTTCTCTCACTTGTGAGGCGAGTGCTCTAATCACTAATCTACAGGTTTCCACAATTGGCAAAAGAACTTGAGAAATTGTTTTACCTAGTGAGGGGTTACAAGCTGGAATGCACTATCTGAAAGGGTGGTGGAAGCAGATTTGATAGTAGTTTCCAAAAGGGAATTTGAGATGTACTTGAAAAGGAAACATTTGCAGGGCTATGAGGTAAGAGCAGGTGAGTGGGACTAATTGGATATCTCTTTCACAGGCACGATGGGCCGAATGGCCTCTTTCTGAGCTGTGGGATTCTATGATAACTGCAACCAACGATTATAACAACAACATCTTTACCCTTCACCCAGGGTAGAGTGCTGGAGCACTTGACAGTGGCAGGGTCTGACTCCAAACCAGGGAGAGTGGGAGGTGACCATCAGCACGGTCAAAAAGAGTGAGGAGGGAGGTGGCAAGGCTGAGGGACTGAGGGAGGGTGTTCCAGAGTTTTGGAACTGAAGGCGTACCTCATAACCAAAGGCTCCACCAATGGTGGAGCGGAGAGGACGAGGGACAAACAGGAGGCTGGAGCCAGCCGAGTGAAGGCAGCAGGGCGGTGGAGTGGGAGATAAGCAAGTCAGATAGATAGGGAGGTGCAAGGGCATGAAGGGATTTGGAAATGATGAGAGGATCTTGAAATTGATCCATTCGGTAATGGGGAGCCAGTGGAGCCTGGCAAGGATTGGTGTGATGGGGATACGGAGTTTTATGCAGGTGCATATCCGGGCAGTGGAATTTTTAATTAATTGTACTTCGCATATGGTGGAGCTGGGGACCAGCGAGGAGGGCATTGGAATAGTCCAGCTGGGAAGTGACAAATGCGTGGAAGAGGGTTTCGGCTGTTTTGGTTATGAGGTACGGATGGTGGCGGATATTCACTTACTGATACACCCGGTGCCGGAGACCATTCCGCAGCTGGTTTTTATTCAGGCTTGGATTCCACTCGTGATTGGCCAAATGGTTGGACACAAAATTATCCACTCGTTGTCTCAGATTCTGGTAGGCCGGCTGCACAGTTTAAAGACAAATCAAAACCATTAACATCCATGACCTTCTAATACCCAAGCAGTGTAAACAATTGTGCTGCACAGACAACAACTTACACTTATATAGCTCCCTTCACGCAGGGTAGCGTCTCAGAGGGCTTAACAGTGGCGCAGCCTGACTCCGAGCCAGGGGGTGGGGGGAGGTGACTGTAAGCATGGTCGAAAAGGAAGATTTTCAGGCAAGACTTGAAAAGGGGGAGAGGGGGCAAAGCGGATTGTTCCAGAATTTCGGGGCTTAGTGGCTGAATGTGCAGCCTCCAATGGTGAAGCAGAGGGCACGAGGGTCAAGCAGGAGGCCGGTGCCAGTCGAGTGGAGGTGCTTGGTGTTGGATTGGGGAGTGAAGGATAAAAGCTAATGACAGCCAGTGCAGCAACTTGAGTTATAATATACTAAGCACTGGACTTCATACCCCGAGTCAGCAGTCTCAAGTGACAGGTTTGATCCCTGGTATATACAGGTGAACTGGTCGCACCAATAAGAGCAGAGGTGCTCCAATTGGCTTTAGGCTTGGGAGGGAGAGCCACTGATCTAGTGCCCCTGCTGATGTGTTAATGTTTGGGGAGGGTAGTATTGGTTACATGCTTGACAGCCTTAACTGTTGTTGTTCAGGCTCACACATGAAGAATGAGATCCCTGGACCCTATGAAACTGTAACTCAGCAGCAGTCAATAGCTTCAGAATGCAGTGGGGAACACTTTCTATGATAAATTGCACATGTTCCCAGTGTAGAAGTGGGTAAGAGGTCCCTGTCAATTGCAAAAACATTCTTGAGGGAGGGGATGGCCCTGTATTGTTTTAAACCAAACTTGAGCATTATCTGCACTCCTCAAATTCACTTGAATTCAGACCAGTTACAGTGGAAGGAATGAATTATGTGCAGCACATTAAGTAGAAGTTTAGGAATACAAACAATACAACGAATTGCAGATGGTAATCCACTGGTAATAATAATCATCCTTGCATTTTAATATAGCACGTAAAGGTCAGCTGACATACAACTTGTTTGAGCTCTGCACTCAAGTTTACTTTATGAAACCCTCTTGATTTGATTACTTTGTAGTGATTCATTAACAGCCATGAAGTATCTTCTCTCCACATAGCTGATACCAGGTACTAAACTCGATATCTGGCCTCAGATACGACAGAGCTAATCGTCAGCCGAGCATGTGTACATGTGCAGTGGCCCTGAAATTAAACACACACACAGACATCGACACTATTACATACAATAAGTAACAAGAGATTTTATCCTTTATATTTTAATAACCACATGGGAAAATGTTGTGCGTGTTGCTCGTACCGGGTTACAGAGAGGATTGAGTGACGTCTCTGTTCTCTGCTGTATTAAAAGAATTTGCACCGTTCATTGATGAAAATTGAACATAATAATTATGGAGCGGGTGGGGGTGGGGTGGGGGGAGATGGGGGTGTAGGCCCCGGTCACCTTGGTGTCCACATCAGCCAGACAGTCTCTGCGGAACTCGTCGAACAGGCCGCGGCTCTTCAGATGATCCACGATCATGGCGACCAGCTTGGGGTCTCCGGGCGGCAGGCTCTTGGCCATGGCGGTTGGGAGAAACAAGAAAGCCCGGGTTTATATATATAAATGTGTGTGTAAGTTATATATAAAACGATAAAAGCTTCTGATCCTCGACGAACCTTCCGTTGACGGCGTAGCAACAAGGGAGACAAAACCGGAAGCGAGCGCGCGGGCCTCTGGGAGTTGTAGTTTCTGGGTCGCTGTCGCGCCCGGATCCGACTACAACTCCCAGAGTGCGCACGCGCCCTCCGACCTGTCAGCCCCGGTGCAGTCCGTGCCCGAGTGGGGCGGAGCGGCACTGGGGCGGCGCCGGGAGGTTCCGCCCCTCCTCCCGGGAAACACAGCCCTTCTTTAAAAGGGAGACATTTCTGGACATGTATTTGCCGAAGGAAACACGTTAAGAGGAAAATATACCAAAATGGGCTGATTGGGCTGAGCTGTAAAAGGTTATGTTTCTGAACCAACAACTTGTATTTATATTAGTGCCCTCGGACACAGCGGGTAAACCAACAACAACAAGTGACACTCGGATTGCGCCCCTCACATCCGATCAAAGAGGAAGGTCTTCAGACGGGACTTGGAACGATGCAGCAGAGGGGGTGACCCCGAGGGACTGCGGGATAGCTCCAGAGTGTGGAGCAGATGCTGAATGCCCTCTGAACACCAATTGTGGGGGAAGTGCACGAGTCCTGGAGCAGAGGGAGCAGACAAGGCTGAGGGCTGAGGAGACGGTCAATACCGTGAAGCGCTTTGAGATGACCCCCTGATGTGAAAGGCGCTGCACCAAATGCAACGATTATTCTATTGTCATCCTCTTCAGTCGCCTTCAAAGATTGGTGCTGAATTTTGTTGCCCAGAGGGTCATTTTGCCCTCCACTTCAGCCTTTCTCATGAGGCAAAATCACAACAATTCCTTTTTGAGAGGTTTTATGTATCCAGTGTTTGCACTCGATATGGGAGTCACCACCCGCTAAAGGGAGCACTGCAATGCTATCCTGTGTGAAGGCCCTAAATCAATGCGAGTTTGTAGTGGTCTTTAAAATTCTACACTGTATTGGAAGTTAAAAACTTCTAAACTGATTTTGGACAGATTTTGAGACCACTCATCGAAGATTGATTATGACTCAGTTTTACTACTTGTTAACTAACCAAATAGCTAATTTAATTTTGAAAACGTACTTTGGTTTATATTTTGGAACAATGTACACATTTTTGCCTACTGCACGCATTTTTGTTCAAACCTTAATCTTGTCTCTTCTCACTCTCGTGAATATCAAATTTGGGTCACCCAAAATTAGAGCATTTCAAGGCAGATTTTAAAAAAATCAAAAAGGATTTTAGCATTTCAGAAATTGCTATTTGGCAATATGGCGAGAGAGACATTTGATCCTATTAAACAACAATAATAACATTGAATTGCATTGTGAAATAATGAGAGGATAGCTAGCAATTCCGCCACCCCAAATTACCTTTCATTCCTAGGCCTGATCACTATCCGCCGATTCCTAGTAATCCAACGCTTGGAGATGATGATCCGATGATCTTCATTGCCTCTCAAGTACCTGCAAGGGGAGGAGGAGGAGGACATCTGAAACTTTTCATTCTGGATACCTCCTCCGTGCCTCCCAAAATGGATAACCTGTTCGAATTCAAGAAGCTTAACAAAAAAATGAAGGTTGTCAGAACTCTGATGATTAACCCTTGGGTGTACTGTAGCTTAGTGGTTAGCGCGCTCACCTCGCAAGCAAGAGGACCTGGGTTCGATTCCTGGGCAGGGGGAAACGAAATGTTGGGCAGGTTTCCTTACTCTGCACACCTCTGTACAACTTGCATTAAGCAGGAATCTAGTTGTTAGTTGATTGGCAGATTGCCTCTCTGGGGGTAATAATTTCTTAAAAAAAATAACAATTTTGTCACTCAATCAATGACTGTTTGTGAGACGCTGCTGTGCACAATTGGCTGCCTTGTTTCGTCCACAAAATATACAGTCAATTCAATTTACACTATATTCTGTGAAGCACTTTGAGAGGTCTGGAAGACGTGATAAGGCGCTATATCAAATGAAAGGATTATTATTAGATTTGTGTTGGAACAGTACAGCATGTTTCTTTGTAAGAATTTATTATGATTAAGTTTAGTTGGTTTGGCAGCGAATGCAGGTCAAAACACAAAAGCTTATCACCCCCCCCACCCCCAAGGAAAAGAGGTCAGTGTGGTTTTCAGACAATTGACTTTTTGATGTGACAAGAAAACAGCTAAAGGACAGTGAACTGGGTTAACTGCACCCAGAACCCCAGGCGTACAATATAATGCAGCACCAATTGCATTTAGCTTTGTTTGCCTCTTGAATAGAATTCATGCTGTTCTGGTTTCAATTGCAAACCAGCAACAATTTTTCTTGCTCTTTTTTCTTCTCGAAATAATCAGTTTCATCCTGTTCAAAAAGATTATCACCAAAGTAAGGAGGTGGGAGGAGGAAAGTGGGGGGGAGTTTGAATAGCCTGTCGGCTCCTGTGGAGATTGGTTTCATTTAATTGCTGAGTTGGGACGTTGCTTGTCTAAAACGTTCACTGATGTGGCGCCTGTGATCATTTTCTGAAAGGTTTCAGTTTCCCTCTGCGATGTTAAGAGTCCCACTGAATCAATAAAACACATTTGATGTACTGTGCTGTGAGCGGAGTTGGCATAGTTGCTTCTGATTGCATTTATAAGAGGCCCGAGAGTCAGGCTCCCTGAATCAGCCCAAACATTCACTAACGTGTCCACTTGGTGGCAGCAGATTCACTTTAGTTATCACCGCATTGAACCATCTGTGATCTTGTTTCATTTGCTCGAACCACATACCTGGGAAAGCAACTGAAACAAATGCTAAAGTGTTGAAAAATAAATACAACTATGATCATGCACATAATACGACTTAAGATTTTTTTTGTGGTTTACCGGGTGTCTGGCACTTGCCATTGCCTTGTTTGAGACTATCCAAATCAGACAGAGCGTTCTATATATTTATGCCACCTACACATGGAAACTTTGCCCAGAGGGATCCTACTTACCTAATTCTGAAAATTATAAGCGTAGAGTCAATGCTTGGGGACCCCAAAGTGTGCCTTGGGCTTTTGCTTACATAGTTAATGGATCCTCCTGACATGAAAGGAGCTATACAAATGTAATTTGTTGTTGTTGAGCTGAGTTGGAAGAATCCCAGTCCCCAATGACACAAAACGTATTCAAAGTATCTGTTTTTTAATTGTTACAATGTATAGTGTAGTGACTGTGTATTTGTGGGTGACAATTCAGACAATATGTGCACAGGTGCAATTTTTTTAATTGCCTCCTTACCCAAGAACAGCAAAATTACATTTGTATAGTGCCTTTCCCATCAGGAGGACGTCCCAAGGTTCTGGACAATCAGTGTCTTGGACCCGAGCTGGGGGTCGGGATTGGGGAGTTTGGAGAACGGGGGGAAGGAGGATGACTGAAGGCACGGTCAAAGAGGAGGGTCTTGAGACAAGTCTTGAAGGAGGCAAGGGAGGGGCGAGATGGAGGGACTGGGATGGAGTTCCAGAGGCCGGGGGCAGAATGGCTGAAGACCTGCCCGCCAATAGTGGGGCAGGCGAGGTGGCGGACATGAAGCAGGCCGGAGCCCACTGAGCAGAGGGAGCGGGTAGGTTTGGCAGGAGGTTAGAAGTTTGCAGAGGTAGGGGAGAGCAAGGCCACAGAGGGCTTTGAAGGTGAAGTTTACCCAGGGAACTCGAATCAATTGTAGCATCCCTAATACAACATTACACAGCAAGGTAACTTGGGGTACCGTTTCAGAGCATTTTAGAATGGTATCGTTTGACACTGAGACGGGGAGAAAGGGGAAGTGGCCATAGGCGTAGTTGAAGAAGAATTTCTTCAGGTGCGGTCTGAAGATGGGCAAAGAATGAGCAGGATGGCGACAGGGAGTTCCAAAGCTTCGGTGCATAGTGGCTATTTCCACAGACTGAGATGAGCTAAACCCATAGACCGAAACGGTCAAATTCCAAGCCTATATGCAGGTCACCAACTGAGCCATACAACAACAACTTGCATTTATGTAGCGCCCCTCACGTTCCAGAGAGTCACAGAGATACATACAAAGTATCATACAAAATGAGTGGCACAAGTAGCTCAATAACCAATGCGCCCCATAACAGGTCAAGAAAATCTGATAGAAAGAGTGACGCGGACAGTAGATTGCCTCTATTCACACTGAGTAAAGAAATACCCAATCTCCAGTGCTGGCCAGCGAGTGTTGCAAAAAAAAAAGCAACATTAGTGAATGAGCACCTGAAGTCAGCGACCAGCAAGTTCTCAGGTTTTTATGAAGTGTGTATTTACCAATCGAATAGTTGGCAGGCCACACTTCGGTGTCCAGACAACCTCTAGGCGTGGGATTAAAGAGCCAGTTACTAGCTGCTTATTGCAACAGCTTTACAAACCCATCCATTATTGAATGGACGTCTGGATGAGGCAGTACCTGCTATGAACACTATGTTCGAGCCTGACAGACTGAAATGCTAATATCACAGCTACAGTGGTCAATTAAGACTGCATCACTCAAATGGTGCGTTATGTGCATTATTGGAGGCTGTGTGTGAACACAGGGCCTTTGTCTCTTTCGTTAAAAACAATTCTCCCTGATTCTCTCTGTTGCCCTGCCTGAAACTGCTGATTCACGCTGAGGCACATGAGTGGCTTGTTGTGCAGTGCATTGGTGCCTTAGAATGGAATCTTGTTGTTGTTGTTGTTAGCCCTTAGGCTGTGATTTCCTGCACGGTGAGCTATTATTTCCAGCTGTGCTGTTGAGAGAGAGAGAGAGAGAGATCGTGAGCAGATAATAAAAATAATTCTTACATTCGATACAACCCTTTTCACATTGGGTGGACATCTCAAAACAACAACCTTCTGTCCCCCAACTGAGTGCCTGAGTCACAACTCCAGTTTCATTTTTCTGAACAGATATTACAGGTTTATGGTTCTGATCGTGGATCAGAGTCTGAACCAACTTTTGACCAGATAAAATTAATCATTTTCTTCATGGCTCTTTGTGTGACATCACCTATAAAACACACAGTCCCTTCACGTTACAGAAAAAATGTGAATCATTTTGAGGTGTCCTGACATAAAATGTTATTGTTACCATTT